AAATTTATGTTTCAAGAAACCGACCAACTTTGGTCGGTTTTTTAATTAAAATAAATAAAAATTAATATTAAAAAAACCGACCAAAATTGGTCGGTTAATTCGGCGGGCCATTTAAAAAAACCGACCAACTTTGGTCGGTAATTTTACTTTTTAATAAAACCGACCAACTTTGGTCGGTTATTTTCGTGCGAAAATACAATTAAAGAGTATAAATCAAATAAAAGACAGTCTTAAAACAAAATGTACCAATGGTTTAGTGGTAGAATAGTATCCTGCCACAGTACAGACCCCGGTTCGATTCCCAGATGTGAATCTTTTTATTACATAATTAAAATACCGATCAACTTTGGTCGGAAAAAACCGACCAACTTTAGTCGGTTTTTTTTTTGCAATATATTTTTTTTGAATTTAATAGACCGACCAAAGTTGGTCGGTAATTTCTGACCAACTTTGGTCGGTATTCCTTTCCGACCATAAAAATACCGTCCACACGTAAATGATCGCGTTTTGGTCAGTTTTTGGCCATTACCGACCAACGTTGGTCGGTTTTTTTGGTCGGTTTTTACCGAATTTCTAGTAGTGCGAGGGCTGAGGGCAAGGTAGAGATACATTGTTCATGTTAATAAAGAGAATTCAAGCCAAGGAAAAGATTTGTTATTTTGTGGCTTGAATTATTTTCTTGTATTTTTAGGAAACCCATAATCCATATAGGTTTAGAAAAACTCATTGTCCTAATAGATTTGGGAAAGAAAAACCTACAGTCCTTATCAAACTGGAAAACCTTTCTCTTATAGGTTTGAGACTATTTGGGATATATATATATAGGTTGTAGTTGAGGATTCTATAGATTGTATTGTGCTTTTCTTCTCATTCATAGTGAAAAACTCTCTCTGCTTCTGCCTCGAGGATTAGGCTTAGCCGTACCTCGTTAAATCCTTGTGTTGATTTTTCTTCTCTATTTGCTTTGTGTGTGATTGCATGCTAGTTAGCCCACGATCTTCCGCAACACTTATATGCTTAGTTAATACTCCCTCTATTTAATTTTAGATGACACACTTACTTTATTTGTCCGTTCCAAAAATAATGACACATTTCTACAATTGAAAATAATTCAACTTTAAACTCTTCATTTTATTCATTTTACCCTTGATGAGAAACTTTTATAACCACACAAATGTCATGATCCCACAAACTTTTACCCCTTAAGCTTTTATGACCACAAGTTTCAAAGTCTCTTTTTTTTTTCTTAAACTCTGTGTCGAGTCAAATTATCTCATCCAAATTGAAATGGAGGGAGTATTGTTTGCTAATTTATTTATAAATAAATTTCCTTTTTGTTTTTAATTTAAAGTTTTAGATCCTCCAAGATACTAATCTGGATAGGTATTTAACCTAAAAATTATACTTAATATATTAAGCAATTAAATTTGTATTTCTAGGCCACAAGTCCACAAGCAATCGATTCAATCCAAATTGTAAAACCCTTTGGTTTAGTTTAGTTATTCATGTTAATTTGGGTAAACTATCTGTAGTTTGTCTGCTCTTTGAAAAACTTCTCTACATTTAGAGCCCGTTTTGACATACAATTTTTTTCCTTTTCTCCAAATTTTTTTTGAAAACAATGTTTGGTTATCCCATTCTTACCAAATTTTTCAATTTCAGTCGAAAATTTATTTTCAAATTTGAAAAACTGGTTCTGACCAATTTTTCAATTGAAAATGGGAATTTCCTAGTTTTTAGTGTTATAATTTTACCCTGTATTTTTCAAATTTATAAAATAACCGCAGCAGTTGTTCATATTTATGTTGTTTTTGGCTTAAATTCCTTCTCTGTGTATTAGTAGAATTAGAAAATGTGATATTAATTTTGCATCTTCTATATATTGCAGTAAAGCGGAATATGATAACAGTTAAATAATAGCATTTTGATTGTTTATTTCAAGTAGCATAATCAAATTGGGGTGGTTTTGATATTTTTTATAAGTTGTAGGTATAAATCATGTTTTGTGGTTTTGAAAAAAAAGGCATCCAAATATGTTGCAAAAATTATAACCAAACACAACTTCATCTTCAATTGAAATTTTAGTGAAATTCCAAATTCCAAAATATTTTTGGAATGCATGTCCAAACGCCTACTTAGTTTGACTAAACCAAAATCTGTCTTTTACTTGAATGCTGTTAGTTTATTAGTGTTTGGAGATCGAAGTTCTTGAAAACTTCAAACTAGACCTCCAAGAAACCAATTTACCAATTAATCTTCAATTATCACTCTACCAAAACTACACAAATCTCATGTTTTCAATTTTTTTTTTTTTTAATAAAAATCATGCATGATGAATGTTGTTAGAATTATTTAACCAGCTCAACAAAAAGTTCAAAGTATTAGGGAGATCACATGTATTTTTACTCTTCATTCAACTTTACGTGATGCAAATATTATTTGGAGGCTCAAATAATTTTTTTCGTATTCGTTTTTAAATATATTGAATTATTAATTATTGTGACTTATAGTACTATCTTTCTAAATATATAAATTTTATTTCAAAAATCAGAATATTCTATGCCCAAATTTAAATTGAAATTTAGATAGTCTGACAAGGGTATTCCGAATCACGTCACATAAAGTGGTTTTAACAGATGACATATTTATTTAATAATTTCTTTGACATTCTTTTTGATATGAGAATTCTTTATATATATATATATATATGTATGTATGTATGTATGTATGTACCATGTTCGTAGTTTTCATTGGAGACATCTTTTTTTTTGGTTATTCCAGACGGATAAAGCATCACTGCTAGCTGAGGTGATACAACATGTGAAGGAGCTCAAGAGAGAAACGTCACAAATAACTGATACAAATCCAGTCCCAACTGAGATGGACGAACTAACAGTTGATAATTATTCGTCTGATGAAGAAGGAAACTTTGTGATCAAGGCTTCATTGTGCTGTGAAGATAGGTCTGATCTTTTGCCTGACCTTATCAAGACTTTGAAATCTTTAAAGCTAAGAACATTAAAGGCTGAAATAACAACACTTGGTGGACGTGTTAAAAATGTGTTGTTCGTAACGCATGGAGATCAAGAAGACCACAATACTAATGATGATCAACTGCAATATTCTATAAGCTCAATACAAGAAGCACTAAAAGCAGTGATAGAGAAATCTAGTGGGACTTCAGGGAGTGTTAAGAGACAAATTAAAGGACTACTAACTTAAGTATTCTTGAACACAGATCTCTCTAGGGATCGATATCCTTCTTAGGGAATGGAATTGTAGTAGAATAGTAAATACTTTTTTTATTAGAGGTCTCGGGTACGAGCCTTAAGTATATATGGAATTCCTTGTATTTATCTACACTTGTGATTTTGTTCATAAATCATTCAAGTTAAAAAGTCAGGTACTTAATTAGGAAAATCTAGGAGCACTCACATCAACATCAACCATTGTAGCTTGCACAAACAAGAAGCAGAGATGTAATTCACAAAGTAGAAGTAGAAATGTTTATGCAAATAGCGACGACCCATAAACACAAAGAGATACTTCTCTGTTCAATTTGAGGAAAAAAATCAAAAGGTGAGATGAAACAAATGAGAATTTATCATGAATTGGAAAGTTTTTACGCTAGTTGCCAACCTACCACAACCCTCCTCCTTTATCTCGACTTGAGACTGGTAATATGAGCAAGCTCACTGATCACGCCCAACTATGCCTCCTAAGAGGTCTAGTGATCGTTGCAAATATAATCAGCTTTACAAGTACAGAGTCAAATCTCACAGGGGATTAAGCTATTAATCACAGCCACTAGTTTCACAAGAATTCAAGTAATTAATCAACCTTAAAAATATTAAATATCGATTTGAGTGTGTATTAACTAAGAGAAGAGTAATTAAGATGCAGTAATTTATAACTAACAGAGCAAATGTTGTAGACAAGATTGGAAGAGTCTAGGGTTATGATTTTCCCTATTGTCGGAATCTTTCCCGCTATATTTTCTATAAATTTGCCTAAGTATTCTCTACCGATCGTGAGTACTTTGGGTGTCGTAATTCTCTTCCGAGCAACTAATACAATTTACTAGACGTATTCTTCCGAACTACACTAGCTGACACTAGTTTACCGCTCATTATGATCGCACCAAAGTTTCGTTATTCCTAATCCCACCTTTAAACCTTTCGTATTGATTCCTCATATACATTAGGAGTGATGTTGTTCAACAACTACCTAAATGTGTACCCTTTTTCAAGCAATACACACTAAATAGGCACAGTCAATTGAGAGCTCTTCAATCAACCACAATGAAAACGTAGTTAAACAAGTAGAGAAATATCAAAGGCAAATTTATATTAAACGGAGTAGAAAATCATCCTCCAATAGGTTCCATCAAACCCTAGATGGGAGAGTTTAGCTACTCATAACCATACTAACAATCATGATAATAATTGAAAGCATTAAAATACAAATTAAGGAAGAACGGAAGAGAAAAACTCTTGTGATTCGTTGCTTCCTAATGTTCCCTTAGCCTTTTTTCTCTAAATAATGTCTAACCTCTAAAAAATAGGTTTAGAACCTCTTTTATACATGTTGGTGGCGTGTAGGATCGAAACTACTAAGTTCTAGCCGAATTAGGATGAAATTTATCCTTGGGTGTCCCGCTTTGCGCCTGGCGCCAACCTGGACACCGAACTTTTTCCACTTTTGTGCTCTGCTGCCCTTTGCGTTTTGGTTGGTGCCTGGCGCGAACCTTGGCACCAAAGTCATACTCCCTCCAAATTCTTTCGCTTTTACTTCAATTTGCATGCAAGCTTTCCAAATCACTTCCAATTGACTCCTACACATATAAATACCATTATTAAGCTCGAGTCACAAATATTCACACCAAAGTTAACAATATTAAGGCATAATGCAAGGCAAATTACATGCAAAAATATGAATGTTTAGCCAAACATCACTCACAAGTACAGTTAAAAGGGAATGGATAGACCTAAAATCATATAAAAGGAAGTTATCTCAAGAGATCTATAAATCTTTGGGATCAATGTAAGTTTGGTTAAGAATATGACAAAATGGATGAAAAATATCCATAAAGGTAATACCTACTACTAGTTAGGATTAGATTTTGAGTTAATACCCTAAAACCCGCCTAAGCTATACAACTTTTGTGTGTTGCCTGTCTAAACTATCGCATGTCCCTGAAAACCCCTGAACTATATACCTTCATAATAAAACCTCCTAGTCGCTTATGTTGCATAATGTGTGTAACAAATCGTCCAAGAGCGCGTGAAGGCTAAAAAAAGTCATTAAAATGGCCAACCTGATAGTGTCTAATGGCTAATTAGCCCTTCTTTTTTTTTTGAAATTTATATCTTTTTATTTTCTCCTTTTTTTATATTTTATATTTCACCTTCCTTCCTCATTTTTTAACCTTTCTTCTCTATATTTTCACCTTTATTCTTCATTTCTTATTTGAATCCATCTGAAATTTTCCCTCTCTTATTATTTCAGAGTTTATTTCTTATCTTTCTCGTTTTATCCATCCTTCATTTCTTACCTAAATATATTTGAAAAAAAGGAATACTCTTTCAAGTATTTGTAGAGCATGCGGTTTAATGTCTTTCAAGAAGTTAGAACAAAGATTAATGGAGAAAATCGCTACTAAGAAATTAGTATAGCCCGATGAGAGCAAAGAGAAAATGAGTTTTTTATAATTGACCCTATAGTTTTAACCCTAGCCCCCTTTTTTATTGTTACCATATATTTTTTTACAATGATATAATAAAGAGTATTAAAATATTAATTAAATCTATTTGTTTAGATTAAGCTAAATAAATATCTACGTAGATTTTTAAAATAGTTTAGCGAGTGTATTACATGCACTAGTAAGAAAGAAATGAGGGGTATTATTATGAAGGAGGATAAAGTTCAGGGGATTTTCGGGGGCAAGTGATAGTTTAGGTAGGCAACTGACAAATGTGATATAGTTTAGGCGGGTTTTAGGGTATTAACTCTTAGATTTTAGAACTGTTTAGAGAATTATTTTTCTACTACTACTACTATTATCATCATCACACCATCATCATCTTGTTCCTTTACTTTTATTTTATTTCAGTATAGTGATAACATGATTTAAACTTAAATTAAAAAGTAAGGATCCCTATCGTCGACCTCAACTTTTTTGGGACTGAGACATAATTATTTTTGTTTTTGTGAAATGAAGAAACACAGGAGGCTGTTGACTTCAAATTTATGTACGTTATGCTACAAAGTGGAACAAGTAAGAAAGACGTGACAAGAATTTTTAGCTTACTTTGGTTGATCTCCTTCGGCCTAAAAACCTTTGAACAATGACTTGGATCCTCTATGTGTCTCTTTCTCGCTCGTGGGTTTATTTGACGCAAATATGAATTGTAGGGTGTTTAGAGGTGGCCAGCTGAGAAACAAGATATTAATATTTTCAAAGACAGAAGTTACCGAGAAGAAAGATATCAAGAAACGTGTGCTGGTGAAATTATGTAGCCAAAAGCATTCAATATAAAATTTGCAAGGTAAGTATCTTAATCGAATAACTCCTACATAGGAATGTGACCAAAATGAGTATGCATTTACCCGGGAAAAATTACTCAAGCTTTCTAATAAAGATATAAATGTGGCAGGAGAAAAACACGAAAGATATTTACCCTGGCAATATCAGGGGTTACCAAGTTTTTGATGATTTGCTTCATGCCTTGACTAAGACAACTGCATTTTAAGGGTGCGCATTCAGGCAGTTCGAATTGCATATAAAAATTTTAGTTTAGATTTTCGGTTTTTTGATTGACGAAATTACAATCAAAATCCAATCCAAATAAGAGGGGTATTGCGACTAAAAGCACATACAAATATACGTGATCGACAAGATATAGTGACTAGAAGTCAAATATGGAACCAGCAGTGACTTAGTTCTTTTGATTGTTTTCTATGCAAACGCGAGCCGATTATTTGTTCAAGGTTATCCAAAAGTGATGATTGTGACCAAACTATTATTGAAGAAATGAAATAAGTAATAAGCTGAACTAACAAGAGAGCACATGTTTATGAATTTCACTTAATCAAGTAAGATGAATGCCTCAAAATATACAATATATATACATTGTTGGACCTTTTGAATAACAACCAAGAAGATCTTATAAAAATTAAACATTTTCGTAGCGAAGATGTAAAACAGATATTGGGCATTTTANAACAGCCAAGAAGATCTTATGAAAATTGAACATTTTCGTAGCGAAGATGTAAAACGGATATTGGGCATTTTAGAAAAATATTTCGTAATTGATTTAGCAAAAAATAAGTTTTAAATCTATTGGACTTACTTAGTGAAAATAGATTGAAAATCTTTAGCATAACTAATATGTTAATATATTATATATTCGAAATAAATTCAGAATTAAATTGAACATATGTATCTAGGGAGAATTCGCTTTGAAGAAACTATTCCCTATATAATTGAGTCGTAATTACACCTATTAATCTGAATTACCTATGCTTGCTAGTTGACCAGATCGTACATATGAATAGCAAGATTTTGCAGTACTATCTGCCTATTTAAGATATATCAACCCTATATTCATATGGTATTAAATCTATCAACAACAAAAAAATATAGTATTCAACGGAACGAGATTGATAGGTATATCCATATACTGTCACGACCCAGAATTCCCACCTTAGGGATCGTGATGGCGCCTAACATTTCACTTGTTAGGCAAGCCAACATTAGGTATACTTATTAACCATTTTTAACAATTCAAATCAAATGATAACAATAAAACTGAATAATCTGAAATAAAGTGATAAACTAATAAACGATGTAACCCAAATATAATCCCAGAAACTGGTGCCACGAATATGTAACGAATCGTCCAGTCGATTTGAGTATTACAGCCCCACTCCCCCACTTACTGCTTATTTTATGCTCAATTTTTTTGACTTGTCGGAGATGTTTCAGAATGAATTGAGACACTTAGTTCCAAGTTTAAAAGTTTAAGTTGAAATAACTGACCGGATAATGTATTATGGGTAAACAACTCCGAAATAGAATTTTAATAATTCTAATAGCTCCGTATGGTAATTTTGGACTTAGGAGTTTGTCAAGATATTTATTTGAAAGTCCGTAGTCGAATTTGGCTTGACACAGTGAAAGTTAAAAAATTAGAAGTTTTAGAAATTGAGAAGTTTGAGCGAGAGTTGACTTTGTGATTATCGGACTCGGATTTTGGTTTCGGAAATTTTAATAGGTCTGTTATGTCATTTATGACTTGTGTGCAAAATTTGAGGTCAATCAGAATTGATTTGATAGGTTTCGACATCGATCGTA